ATCCAGATGTGGAGTTAAGTACTATTCTTTCTTATTTTTTCATGAATGTAAATTTTAGTGTTTTGGCCAGGTATGGTAGTAGTACGTACCTGTAATCCCAGCAACTCTGGAAGGCTGAGGCAAGAGGATTGCAAATTTGTGGCCAGCCTTAGCAATTTAGCAAAACCCTTAGTAACTTAGATGCTGTCTCACAATAAAAGGACTGGAGATGTATTCAGTGGTTAAGTGCCTCTGGGTTCAATCTCCATTATCTGAATAAATGAATAAATAATGCATTTTTGTGTTTTTATTTTGGTAAAATATACATGACATAAAAATTCTTACCATTTGTAAGTATATAGTAAATGTATCCCATTGTGGTGCAACTGTCACCACCAGAATGGGTTTTTTTCTTTTTTAAAAAATATTTATTTATTTATGTATCTTTAGTTTTAGGTGGATACATTAGTTTGTTTTTATGTGGTGCTGGGGATCGAACCCAGTACCTCATGCATGCTAGGCGAGCACTCTACCACTGAGCCACCACCCCAGCCCCTAGAATGGGTTTTTTCAAACCAAAACTCTGTACCCATTAAACCCTGACTCTTGTTTGTTTCTCCCTACCTTCAAACCCTGGCAACCACCATTCTGCTTTCTATCTTTATGAATTTAACAACTCTTAAGTGCTTTTGTGAGTGGAATCATACAGTATTTGTCTTTCTGTGACTGGTTTATTTCACTTGACATAGTGTGCTCTAAGTTCATCCATTGTTGCAGCCTGTGTTGAAGTTTTCTTCAACTGAAAAATATTCCACTGCATGTAGAGACTACATTTTGTGTATTTGTGTCTCTGGACTCTTGGGTTGCTTCCACCTTTTGGCTATTGTGGATAATGCTTCAGTGAACAAGGGTGTGCCGTTACCTATTCTAGTCCTTGCTTTCAGTCTTATATATATATATAGCGCCAGATGTGGAACTGCTGGATCATATGGTAATTTTATATTTAATTGTTTTTAATTTTATTTTTTAGGGACCTGGGTACTGTTTTCTACAGCTGCTTCATCATTTTGCTTTCTCACCAGCGGTGCACAGAGTTCCAGTTTCTCTACGCAAGAGGTGGGTAGTGTTCACCTTTTAATGTTACAGAGGCAGGAGGGAGGCACAGAGGGAAAGGAAGTGAGCTGCACAGAGGTTAATGGAGGTCACATGTCCACTTTGCAGTTTGAACTCATCAGCTCAACTCCTGAAACTTAATTCCTGTGACATACAGGTAAGATGAAGCCCAAAGAGGGTAAGGGACTTGGTTAAGGGCCTCCTGTCTGATAGTGTCCAAGCCTGGATTCAAAGCCTGCTTTCAGAGTTCATGTTGGGAAGCATTTTTAAAATTAACCAAAAAGTCATTTTTTTTAATGAAAGTCCTTTTAAAAAGTATTAATCTTTAAATGTCTCTATATAGCCTTTCTCTGCTTTTCCAATTCATGCTTTAAAATCTTATTATATATAATATCATCTTAAAAAAATGTCTGCAACATGTTTGATTTTCTTTTTATCTTTCTTGGGTGATGTTTTCTTGGCTTAAAATATTAGAATAAGTATTGATTCCAGTGGAGTTTTAAAATACAGCTCTGCTCTATCCATCCCTGTCAGAAGTTTGCTTTTAAATAAAACCAAGGGGAAAGTATCTAAAACTGGATTTAAGTTGGGGAAGTCTGGTGGTAGCAGTGGTAAACATTGAGGACTTGTTTTTATGTAGATAAAGTGAATTTTCCAGCTTTTATTAATAAAGGAGCAACACTCTGAAACTTACGCATTGCTCTACTTAATGTTTTAATAGATTGTTTGTTCTCCCTCAAAGCAGCATAGAGGGCTATTCTGAAAGGAGCGCCATCCCTAGTGGATGTTGGCTCAGCTAGGCCAGTGCCAGTTCATGTCACAGCCTGTCTCTAATGCCTCTCACATTGCTGTCAAGGAGGTGCTTCCTGAAAATAGAGATGGAAGGCCTCCTGGACCCTGCCTCATCATTGAGCTGGGGAGCCTGGGTGTGCTTGGTTCTCAACATCTCTCCCAGGGTTGAGGGAAGACAAAGACCTCTTGTCCTAGCATGCCAAGGGCCTATAGTCATGCTAAGACAAATTCTCTGATCTGGAAGATACCTTCAAAATAATCTTTAATTCTGTGGTTCCCAGCTATGATGACACATTATAGTCTATCTGGGAAGGGACTTTTAAAAATGATAATGACAACTGACTCATTGGCATTATGTAGCTCATTGGTAGAACATTTGTCCAGCATGCATAAGGCCCTGGGTTCAATCCCCAGCCCTGGAGGGGGGAAGAAAAAAAAATGCCAGAGTTCCATCTCAGGTATGATTGATCTGATGTATGTGCCACTGCTGAAGTTTTTGAGGATTCTGAGATGATTCTGGTATATAGCTTGATGTAGGACCATTTTGCTTTAATACCTTGTTTTAGGTTGTAAGAGTTTTACCGTGACAAACATGCGAAAATACTGTGTTCTGAGTAGCCTTGGTAGCTGATATTGTTAGAAAGAGTTACTCACATTAGAAGGGAACTTCTTCTCCACCTTCTCCACCACTTTTTCTTCCTCCTCCCCCTCCTCTTTTTTTATTTGTAGTGGTAAGTTATTTTCCTGTCTTCCTGGAGTGTGTCTTTGTATTTAAACACTTTAGTGCTTGCTGCTGTGGAAGATAGACCTAGTTACTTTCATTCAGGTATATAGAAGAAGGACAATAATTCGTTCTCCTAGATTTCCATGGAAGCTCTAGATCACTTTCTGGATTTTGACAGTAGTTTCATTTTGTAATCTGAAGACTTTGATGACATTTGTGGTGATAGTTCTGATAGTTCCTGAAGGCTGCTCATATAAACCTTACCTCCTCTGGTGAAAATAGGTATAGTGCTTTCTACTTTCCTGTAATGTGAACAATTGACCATATCATAATTTAGAAAATCTTGGTGCATGTTTGAGTGAACCACATAGTCAGTCTTATCACAGGAGAAAGTCAAGATATTCCTAGAAAGAGGGGCCTCAACTCAGATTGAGTGGAGTGCTTGACATATGTTGCAGAACTGAACTAAAAGATACATCATTTTAGAGGCCCAAAGATGTATTTAGGACAGCAGAGACACATTCAGGGGAGAATGTGGGCCATTTGACAATGAGATGCTTTTGGGGTTCTCACACTCTTTGTTTTAAAGGAAACTTGATGAGGGGTGGGCATGAGAAGGTATGTGAGGATGATATCAGTCTGGTTATCTGAAGGCCATTTATGGTTGTCTGGTCAGTGTTAGAATCTTTAAAGAATGGTATAGTTCCCATTATCTGATCAGTAGATAATGTTGGATCGTACCCTAGGTCATATGTTTCTTAAAATATCATCTCCCTCTTTACTTTGTTACATAGGCTAAGTGCAAAGGTATTTTTTATAAGTGAGTAAATGGATAGTAACTCTAAGATTTACAGATTTCCCAGGAATTTGGGAGTGACAGGCCTGGGAGGAATATTGGCTTTTGGGGTGAAGGCATTTGATCATAAGGCTTTTAGGTGAAAGTTAGTTTCCTTGTCTTTTGTGTCCTTTCTACATATCTCATTTCTTTTACCTACCTGAATCTGAGGGTTCTTCAGTGTGGAGGAATGCTTTGTCTAAACAAACTGTTAGGGCCCTGGGAATGTGATGTATCTGGCATTATGCTGCTTTCCCTAAGGTCCCTGGTATGTTGGACTGTGCTTTAAGGTTATTTGCTTGATAGTATATCAGATTTTGGAGATGAGATTTAGAGCTTGGTAGAAACAATTATTTTCCTCGCTTTGATTTTGTTTTAATAATGAGTGATTTGCTGTGAAATTTTTTAAAAAGTCATTATTTTGTTCTCAGTTTGTATATGAGAGCCCTGTCAGTAGTTGGAGGAGGGAAGATGTACATATGTATGTTCTGTATGTGTTAGAGACCTCCCTGAGTTGTAGAAAATGACTGGGTTACTTTAGTATCTGAGGACTAGGACTCTACCCACTCTAAAATCATTTTTGATATAGCTAGGGCAGAGAGAGAGAGAGAGAGAGAGAGAGAGTCATAGTCATCCCTTACCATGTGTTTGGAAGTTGGTTCCTGGACCACTGCAAATACCAAATCCACAGATGGTCAAGTTCCTTATGTAAAGTGATGTAGTAGTTGTTTATAACCTACGCACATCCTGTTGCATCCTTTAAATCAGTTCTATGTGACTTATAATAATTAGCTCAATGTAAATGCTGGGTAAATAGCTGTTACACTGTATTGTTTAGGGAATAATGACAAGATAAATAAGTCTTTACATGTTTAGTGCAGATGTAACTTTTTTCCCTAAGTACTTTTGACTCATAGTTTGTTGAATCCATGGATGGAACACCCACAGATATGGAGGGGGACTGGACTTTATGTGTGTGTGCTTATGTATGCATGTACAAGTACATATATTATAAGCAACTCTAAGTGTTATATATATTTTTAGGCATATTTGGCTGCTGATTCAGAGTGACATGATCGAAATTCTCTCTCTGATTTATAAGGAAGTCTTAGAAGGGACATTTGCTGCTGATCCTCCTTACTCTTTTCAAAGAGAAGCACACTGGCTTGGGCATGACATTCCCATTTAGATGATTTCTAATAGTTGTGGGCACTGGAAAGATAACTCTCCTCTTACCCTTGTGCAGATTTCTTCTCTTAGTTAATTACTGAGGTGACAGGTGTGTGTGCAGGTGGGGGGTTGGGTAGGGGGCACTGTTGAATGAGAGAGACAGATTGCTTAGATAACAGGCAGGGGCATCTGGTCATTTTGAAGTCTCAGAAAATGAAGACTCTGCTCCCTGGGGAAAACTTCAAGGGGTTCTTGGATCAGTTGGCATGAGTTTTCTAATCTTTGCTCATTTATTTCCCCTACCTCCTTCTCTGTATTTATTCCCAGGTTCTTGACCTCCAGGGGGTGGTTAGTTATGTATGTCACTGAGAAAAGCTTGAAGATTATAGAAATGAGGCCCTTTTTTCTGATTTCTTAATTTAGGTTTTAATATTTTAGGAATTTGAAAGGAAAATGGTAGCAAGGTAGCAGCAAGTTCTCTCTAAAAACCCAGCCCATTGTTTTTTTGAAGATGTTCTACTAGTCCTTGGTCCCCACCCCATTCTGCCTCCTGAGTCTTTCAAAGTCAGAATCACTCATTTATATGTGAATGCACTGGATTTGAACCCAGGGCCTTGCAAATGTATGTATGTATGTATGTTTGTGTGTGTGTGTGTGTGTGTGTATGTATGTATGTATATCTGTGTGTATGTATGTATGTGTGCGTGTGTGTGTGTGTGTGTGGACACACACGCACACACACACACACATATTTTTTTTTTTTGATAATGAGAATTTAACCCAGGGGTACTTTGCCACTGAACTACATTCTCAGTTCCTTTTATTTTTTATTTTGAGATATGGTCTTACTAAGTTACTAAGGCTGGACTAGAATTTGGGATCCTCCTGCCTCAGCCTCCTGAGTTGCTGGGATTGGGTTATCATTGTATACCACCATACCTGTCTCAAAGCCAGCATCATTTCTTTATTTTATTTTATTTTTTTTTGGTACCAGGGATTGAACCCAGGGTTGCTTAACCACTGAGCCCCATCTCCAGCCCTTTTTATTTTTTGAGACAGGCCCTTTTTAAGTTGCTGAGGCTGGCTTTGAAGTTGGTATCCTCCTGCCTCAGCCTCCTGACTGCTGGGATTACAGATGCACCACTGCCCAGAAAAAACAGCGTCATTTCTAAGGGAAAAAATTCAGAATAGTTTGTATCATCTTCATGTAGGAATTATAGAGTCACATGTTATGCAGGTTGAGTGTCCCTTATTTGAAATGTTTGGGACCTGTGATGTTTTAGGTTTCTGATTTTTTCCCCCCAGATTTTAGAATATTTACCTATGCATAATGAGAGATCTTGGGGATGGGATCCAAGTCTAAACATGAGATTAATTTATGTTTTGTGTACACATAAGCTGAAGGTAATTTTATACAACAATTTTAGTGCACTTTTAGTCTGCCACCTGTTACATGAGGTCAGGTGTGGAACTTTCCACCTG